TCCATAAAAACTCTTCAGCAGTTTTTTTAACAAGGATTATCCCCAACTTCAAAATGCTTTTTTTTATTTCATTAATAATTTGCAGTGTTAGGGGGTTTTGTTTGTGCCAGACATTTGTTTGTGCAAACAAAAAAGCTCTGGAATAATTTTCATTCTGTTGATTGAGTTAATAAGGTTAATTAAGTCTGCACAGTTCTTATTTTTCCTTCCAGGTATTTTCATTTTACTTAATTTTCCCTCTGATTTGTTATTATTACAAACAAATCATAGAAATTACCTTGCTGTCTGACAAATGTGCTTCCTGATAATTCAACATTGGAATTAAAATGGAGTTAATCAGAGCAGAGTGAAGGAGCAGAAAGGAGGCTCAGGGTGACTTTTCCCTACAGCTCCTGCCAGGAGGGCACAGCTGGGGGGGTCGGGCTCTGCTCCAGGGAACAGGGACAGGAGCAGAGGGAACGGCCTCAGGCTGGGCACAGCAGCAATTTCCCCATGGAAAACTGTACCTGGGAGTTCCAGCTTGGGGCTCATTTTGATCAGATTTTGATAAGAGTTTTGGGACTGATTTTGATGAAATATCCAATCTAATTTGAGCATATTTCAGTAATGCCAGGTTGGGTTTCGCTCCAGGTTTTCCATTGCATTGTTGATCCTCAGATGTGATTTAGGACAAAAGTTCCTCTCTGGAAGCAGGAATTGTCTCCCCAGCAGCTGCCCTGTGTTATTTAGTGGCTGCCATGCCTGAATTTTGGGAATGAATTGTTGGATTTCTCCATCCAGAAGAGAGGGATGGATCTGAGCTCTGCCTGTGTCTGTTCTGAGGGATTACAGGATATTTGCAGGAGGAATTGTTTAAAGGGAAAAATGGAAGTGGCTGCTCTGTGAGGGTTGCGGTGCCCATCCCTGGAGGGGGCACTGAGAGCTCTGGGCTGGGCACAGGGTGGGCATTGGGCACAGCTGGGACTCTGATCTTTGGAGGGCTTTCCCAGCCTCAGGCATGCTGGGTTCCATGAAGGAGTTCTGGATCTTGGTGTGACCCTGGCTTTAATCCCAGCTGTGGGCAGGTGTCTGTGCCGGCAGGAACAGCGGCTGCCCCTCCTTCACTGCATCCCACAATGAACCTGCTCAGTTCCTGGAGAGTCCCTGAGGCTCCTCCTGGAGCAGAAGGGGCAAAAGAGAGAGAAAAACAACTTTATGTCCCAGGCTGGTGTGGCTGGGTGTGCTCGGAACACGGGATTAGCATTCCCAGAGCTGCTGGTTCAAGTGTGTGTGGGCTGTTCCTATACAAATACCCATTTGTACTTGCACTGGCAGCTTTGATGTTCAGTGTGCCTGAGCAGCCCCAGGAGTGTTGCTGTGCCCAGCCAGGCTGCCTGAACTGGTTCCACTGCTGGGTTCTGCAGCACATTCTGGCATCTGCTCTGCTGGGACAGTTCAGTGCTTGCAGGGAGAGGCACTTGTGAGAACCTGGCCAGAGCTGGGTGTGCTTTTCCCTGGGTTCAGAGGTACCAAAGTCATTTCAAGTGGATTTTCCCAGTGATAGTCAGATATCAAACCAGATGTCAGGGCTGGGAATTGTTGGGTTTATAGATTTAAAAATTAAGGGCGGTTTGCGCTTCATAAAAAAAATGTTTGAGTGACTAAAGTAATTCTCTGATGTTCTTCAGCTCTGCTTCTTTCCCACCTTCTTCAGTGATTATAAAAATATGATCTGTAGCTTCCCAGTATAATTTGGATTATTTTCGATTTTTTGGTGCTTCATAATAACAAAATTACCTAGAATATATTTAATCTCTATTCTCTGGTGTCTCAGCAGCTCCTGTTTCAGGCTCTTAGTGCCTGCCAGCTCGCCAGGAGCCTCACACTCCTGTATGGTTTTTGAACAGATCGTGTTTCCTCTGAACCAGATAACCTCTTAATTATTTAGCTAAATTATTAATTAAACTATTCAGGTAGATTGGCTAGACTTTATATGGGGCAAACTAGACCCTGAGTATACTCACACTGAGTATAATTAAAAGAAAATGGTATTTTAAGGTTGAGCTTTGGGGTTTAGGGTTTAGCTTTAGGGTTTAGCTTTAAGGTAGAGGGTTTAGCCTTAAGGTTTAGCCTTAGATTTAAGGTTGAGAATGCTGTTTAAGAGAAATAAGCTGTTTTAAAGATGTATTTTTCAGGGTAGTTTGTGCTACGTGGACACTTTGTTTAAATTACAGAGTGCGCATAAAATCCACATTTATGAAGTGCTAGCTGTAGTTTCTAAATGTACATTTGTAAATGCAGATGCGTGCTTCCCTCTGTGTAATTTGCTTTTCTTCTCCCATTTCTGAGGCTGGTTTGGTTTGTTTTTGGTGTGTTTTCCCCTCCCTTTGGGGCACATTTTCAGCCATTCCAGTTCTCCCTGTGCTGACTGGCTGTGTTTGCCCTGCAGCATGGAGATGTATTTCCCCCAGTTCCCCCTGTGCTGACTGGCTGTGTTTGCCCTGCAGCATGGAGATGTATTTCCCCCAGAACGACTCGTGGATCGGGCTGGCCCCCCTGAGCATCCCCCGCTACGAGTTCGGGGTGTGCGTGCTGGAGCAGAAGATGTACGT